TACTGGGAGTACTAGAGCTGCTGGGCCTGCGGGTTCGACTGGAGCTGGTGCTGTTGAGGGTGTTGGAGCTGAGACTATTGCTCGCGGTCCTGCTGCGAGTACTCCTGGTACTGCTGGAGGTTCTGGCGCTACTGGAGGTGCAGCTGGAGCGGGTGCTCCCGCTGGGGGTGCTGGTGCTGTACCTGCTTTGTCTGGCCTCGACCGTACTTCGTTCCACTCTTGCAGCAGGTTCTTGGTCTTCCGCCTTCTACTGGTCCTCCTCCTTGTTTAGAGTGTCCACAGCCAGTCACAGTTACAGTTGCAGCCTACCTCCCCTTTGCCTGCTCCTTCTCCCTACACTGGTCCTACTGGAGGTCTTGCTAAGCATCGTGAGCCTGCGTCTCGCCCTGCGTAGCCTGTCCGTGCTGCTCGCGCTAGTGGTCGTGGTTCGCGTCAGCGTCCTCCTCCTGTCCCTGGCACACACCGGATGTCTCTGCGTCCGTCCACTGCTCCTCTGCGTGCCCCTTTGCCATGTCCTCCTGTGACCTCTCTTCCTGCTTTTGCCGGCCCGAAGTCGGACTCTCTTCGTGCTGCGAGTCCTACTGTCACGCGTCTCCTGGGTACTGTCGTCACTGACCCTTCCTTCGAGTCCACTGCTGCGTCTGCCTTAGTTGCTGAGCTCGTCGACTTTGCTGCTCGCTATCGCCTAGAATACGCGGCCTTAGTCGCGAGTCTTGTCGCTGAGTCTGAGTCTGTCTGTCCTCCGTGCGTCGGGGGTGAGTGTGCCCTTGGCACGGACGTCCTTGAGGACACGCAAGAGGAGTTCCAGTGCTTGGCAGCTGCTTCACCTCATCTCGTGTCCGTACTGCTTACCCCTGAGGGAGACCCGGATGCACTTGACATCCCGACTCCGCGCTCTTACGCGGAGGCGATAGAGGGTCCCTACTTCTCTCAGTGGCAGGCAGCTATGGATGCAGAGATGGCTTCCTGGAAGTCCACAGGCACCTACGTTGACGCTGTCCCCCCTCGTGGGGCGAACATCGTCAGTGGCATGTGGATCTTCAGGGTGAAGCGGCCGCCGGGTTCTCCGCCTGTATTCAAGGCGCGTTACGTGGCTCGTGGCTTCAGTCCGCGGCAGGGAGTTGACTACTTTCAGACCTTCTCTCCCACCCCGAAGATGACCACTCTTCGGGTACTGCTGCACGTTGCTGCTCACCGTGACTACGAGCTGCACTCTCTTGACTTCAGCACAGCTTTCTTGCAGGGCAGCCTGCATGAGGAGATCTGGCTGCGCCGCCCACCTGGCTTCATTGGGTCTTTCCCTCCTAGTACTCAGTGGAGTCTCCGGCGTCCAGTCTACGGTCTCCGCCAGGCGCCACGTGAGTGGCACGACACACTGAGGACTACACTTGCGGCTCTTGGGTTTGCTCCTTCTACTGCCGACCCGTCGCTGTTTCTGCGCACCGATACCTCTCTACCGCCGTTCTACATCCTCGTGTACATCGACGATTTGGTCTTTGCCACAGCTGACACTGCTGGACTCGCCTACGTGAAGTCCGAGCTGCAGAAGAGACACACGTGCACAGACCTGGGTGAACTGCGCAGCTACCTTGGCTTGCAGATCACCCGGAACAGAGCACAGCGCACCATTACTCTGACTCAGTCACACATGGTGCAGCAGGTCCTTCAGCGCTTCGGCTTCACGTACTCCTCGCCTCAGGCCACTCCTCTGCCTACTCGCCACTCGCTCTCAGCTCTGCCTTCGGATGAGTCCGTAGAGTCGAGTGGCCCGTATCCAGAGCTTGTTGGCTGCCTCATGTACCCGATGACCTGCACACGACCTGACCTTGCATACCCTCTTAGCATTCTCGCACGCTATGTTGCTCCTGGTAGACACCGACCAGAGCACATGGCTGCAGCGAAGAGGGTGTTGCGCTACTTGTGCAGTACGTCGGGCATGGGGCTTGTGCTTGGAGGGCGGAGTCCAGTGGTCCTTACTGGGCACGCGGACGCTTCTTGGGCTGACGACCAGGCTACGCAGCGGTCGTCATAGGGCTACACTTTCAGCCTTGGTTCCGGCTATGTTTCGTGGCGGGCTACTCGCTCGTCTTCTGTTCTCGGTTCCAGTTGTGAGGCTGAGATCTACGCCGGGGCCATGGCTGCACAGGAGCTTCGTTGGCTCACCTACCTGCTGACCGACCTTGGAGAGTCGCCTCGTTCTCCTCCAGTCCTGTACGTAGACAACAAGGCCATGCTGGCCTTGTGTCGAGAGTAGAGACTTGAGCACAGAACAAAGCACATTGCTCTTCGCTACTTTCTTGCTCGTGAGCTACAGCAGCGTGGTCAGTTGCGGCTTGCGTGTGTGGCCTCTGAGGCCAACACTGCTGATGTCTTCACCAAGGCACTTGCGCCTTGTGATCATCAGCGCTTCTGCACGCAACTGGGTCTTGTGCCTGTCTTGCCTCACTTACTTACCTCTTGACCTTGCTTGTACTGTTGCATATATATACACCTGCTTTTGCTTGTCTAGTCCTTTATATATGTGTACTCCTGCATGTGAACTGGCCTTGTGGCCTTGAACTTGTGCTCGGAATGTGTGGTGACTTTGTGATCCACCCTGAGCTTGCTTTGCTTTGCTTTGCTTGACTGGTCTTGTGACCCCTTATTCTCCCCCACTTTGCCTATGGGGGTGTGTCAGAACATATAGCTTGTGCTTATTGTGTAGGCTATAGTGGGGTAGCCCATAAGAGGTACAACCCAATTAGGGTTAGTACTTGTACTCAGTTCATTCATAGTTCAATCATTCTCGTTTCAGTTTTCTCAGGGTGAGCACGATTGACAGCAGTATTGAACAATCATATAATGCAATTGAACAGCACCTACTTTTGATACTCCCAATTTATGTCTTCAAGAAGGGAGTTCACCACTATTACGCTTCACTTAGGCAGTGGAAACCGCAGAAAGAGAAGGGAAGATGGTTTAGAGCAAGGGGGAGCAGCGGCATCTTGGAGTTCAAAAGTAGCTGCACCATTGGCAGCACCATTGCTACTAATTGCACCATTAGACGAACCGCTGCTAATGGAAGCACTGGATGGACTCCCAAGACAGAGGCACTGGCAGAACTGATTGGGGTCCATTGGGACGGCATATGGGAGAGGGTAGTTTGGCAAGATGCGCACCTGAATGAGGGGTAAGTAGGGTACAACGGATGCCCACAATAAAAAATCGTATAACGCGGCTGCCTTCGCACCTTGCTGCGCCTCCCCTCGCAACCTTTCTCATTGTCTCCTGCTATCCACTCCCACTACCATTCCTCGCCCATCTCACATACAGGTCGCCTCGCCAAGTCACTTTCGCCGAGCCCACCCGATCACTTTTAGCGGGCCTGTCAGAATGTAATGTTTGTCTAGCCTGCAGTGGGGTACTCTATAATGAGAACAACCCGAATTAGGGTTTGCTATATGTATCTCAACTGCTGCTAGTGAAAACCTTCTCTCCTGTTTCTGATTCTTGCCTAGTGTTTCGACATGCTATCAGAGCAGGTCGACCCTCCTGGGTCGATCCTGTGGGTGGGCCCCACCCGATGCTTCCGCTGCTCTACTGCCTATAGCGTGCCCCTAGCGCGCGCCGTTTTCTTCCTGCCGTGCGCTCGGAGTGCGCAGCGTTTTTTCTTCCCGCCGCGCGCCCTGAGCGCGCGGCGGTTTTCTGCCCTGCCCGCCGCGCGCCCCGAGGCGCGCGGCAGTTTTCTGGCCCGTCGATCCGCGCGTCGCCCCCCGTCGCCCGTCGCAGCGCCCCCGGGGACCCCCGCATCGCCCCCCGTCGACTGTAGCGGCCCGCGCGACCTGCGTCAGGCGCGCGCGCGGCCCGTACAGCCCGCGCGTGGCCCGTACGGCCTGCGCCAGGCCCGCGCGCGGCCCGTACGGCCTGCGCCAAGCCCGCGCGCGGCCCGTACGGCCTGCGCCAGGCCCGCGCGCCGCTCGAGCAGCCCGCGCGCAATTCGTTCAGCCTGCGCCAGGCCCGTGAGCGGCCCGTACCGTCTGCCCCTGTGCCGCACGCCGTCCCCCGAGCTTCTGACTGCGCCCCACCCCCGCTGCTGCCCGCGCTCCTGTGTTAGGGTTTGGGGGTGGAGAGTATGGGGTTGCCGTGTGTGTGAGTCGTCCCCTGCTCCTCCTCCTCCTCCTCCTCCTCCGTCTCCCACTGCTGCAGCTGCCGCTGAGGGGGGTGGATGTGTTGGAGCCGTCGGAGTGGTACGAGGGGGGTGGCGTGTGAGCAGTACTAGAGGTGTAGCAGGGAGTGTGTGAAAGGGGTGTGGGACAGTTGGGGGAGGTTGACCGGAGGTAGCCGACTTGTCGTCCGCAGCGCCTGAAGTCCAGAGAGCCCCGACCCCCTGTAGCCTGAGTAGTCCGGGGCTCTGTGCCCGGTAGCCACAGTGTGAGCACTCCTGGTAGTCCAGAGAGCCACGACCCCCTATGGCCTGAGTAGTCTGGGGCTCTGCGCCCGGTAGCCACAGTGTGTGCACTCCTGGGAGCACAGTGAGCCAGCTGCGTCTGTCGCCGTGTTGTCTGGGCTTAGCTTGGTATCGACAGTACTGCGCACTCCTGCTACGTGTATGTCTGCAGCTTCAGCCGTCGCCTCCCATCTTCTCGCCCTCATAGTTTCTCCTCCTCCTCACTTGCCCTCTGTGACTACCTCTAGCTTTGCTTATAATTGTGAACTACTGCTCTACCTGCTTGTTGTGCTGATTATACCCCACTTTGACTATGGGGGTGTGTCAGAATGTAATGTTTATCTAGCCTGCAGTGGGGTACTCTATAGTGAGTACAGCCCGAATTAGGGTTTGCTATGTGTATCTCAACTGCTGCTAGTGAAAACCTTCTCTCCTGTTTCTGATTCTTGCCTAGTGTTTCGACAGGGCCCGCCATCTAACCGCCTAAGTTTCGAGAGTTTCTAATCATCGAGCGCAATTTCAGTTTGCCGCGCCCGTCGTCTCACACTCCCCGCCCTCTCCCTTTTCACGGCAAATGTTTGCCTTCAATTTCTCAGACCCTCCACTCAGTTTATCGCTCATTTCCCCCCCTTCTTCACCTCATTTCCGCCCCTTCTTCCCCTTATTTCCGCCCCTTCTTCCCCTCATTTCCTCCCCTCCTTCCCCTCGTTTTTTCCCATCCTTTCCCCCATTTCCTCCCATCCCTTCCCTCATTTCTCCCCCTGCTTCTCCTCATGTCTCCCCCTGCTTCCCCTCATTTCCGCCCCTGCTTCCTCTCGTTTCCCGCCCTCCTTTCCTCCCCCTTCTTTCCCCCACTTCCGCCCATCATGTCCTTCGTTTCTCCCCGCTCCTTCCCCTCATTACATTTCCCGCCCTACTTTCCCTCATTTCCCCCCCTGCTTTCCCTCATTTCCCCCCTGCTTCTCCTCATTTCCGCCCCTCCTTCCCATCATTTCTCCATCTACTTCCCCTCATTTCCCGCCCTCCTTCCCGTCATTTCCTGGTTTCCCACATTCCCCCCACTCTGTCCCGTCATTTCCCCCACTCCTTCTCGTCTTTTCCCCACCTACTTCCCGTCATTTCCCCGACACCTTCCCGTAATTTCCCCCACTCCTTCCCCTCATTTTCCCCCCTCCTTCCCATCTTTTTCCCCCCTCCTTCCCCTCATTTCCCTCCCTCCTTCCCGTCATTTTCCCCACTCCGTCCCGTCATTTCCCCCCCTCCTACCCGTCATTTCCGCCCCTCCTTTCCCCACTCAAGTGCCACCACGGCTCATTGGCTACCTCTCTGTTTAGCCGCCAGTTGGCTCCTCCTCATTGGCTCGGCTTGTCGTTGCATCGTTGCTCCTTCTCTTACTGGTTATTCCCTGTCTGCCTCTTCCTTGGCTGTTCCTTACCCATCTGCTCCTTTCACGGTGGGTCTCCTTCTCCCATGAACAACATTTCTTACATCCGCAGCTTTTGAGAATCCTTAGAAGCTTCTGGGCTTCTGGTAGACGAGAGCGATGACGTCCACATCAGACGTGCCACCGTCCATATCAGACGCGCCAGCAGACACGTCAGCGACAAAGATCAAGTTCAAGCAGTAGGATTTGGACCCTCGAGAGATGTTCGCTGAGACGAAGCTGTCCCTCGCTATAGTCAACTTCAAGCCCGTCATGAAAGGTTGGGATCGTGCAACGATTTGAGTCGACTCAAAAGGTGGGGACTGTGTGACAATCTCAAATTGCCCTGCTATAGTCAGCTTTAAGCCCATCGTAATAATAATTGAGACGTGAAGAATATGACGATATGGAAATTGGCGTGAGAAGATTGTTGCAATATAATTTGTTGGGAGCGGAGTTCTTGGGCGTTTTGTGTGTGAGTTTCGGGGTAAACTTGACTTGAACGAATGCCATTCCTTCAGGTCAACCATTCAGACTGGTTAGCTTGAAGAAATTATTTGAGGCCCATTCTCAGGTTGAAAATGATTTGAGCAAGCACCTCTGACAGGCAAACACATGCATATGTTCAGGTGTGTAGACTAACTAAGCTGAAGGACTTTTCCATCTCGATACATTTTTTGAGGCTTAGATCTTCAGTCATCCTAAGTCCTTGAATGGCGCTTCTACCTTCAGTGGATATTCAAACCCCACTTTGTTCCCACTGCTACGCTATGCAGGTCACTTGCTCGTCCTTCCCCGCCGCGTGGTGCCCCGTTTCATGGACATGACTTCAGAGGAGGTCAGTGACAGGCACGGGACTCAATTCAATCCCCCTTCTACTCCTTGTTACCACTGTTGCAATACTCTTCCCTGCTCCTCCTTCCTTGGTGTGAGGTGCCTCAATTCAAGGACATGACTCCCCATGAGGTCATGACCATGTGGCTGCTAGGCAGGCAGGTAGCACACAGTGTTCAAACTCACACTCCACCCGCTCTTTCTCCTTGCAGGTCTCGTGCTCATGCTTCCTTGCCGTGTGGTGCCCCGTTACGAGGACATGACTCCCGAGGAGGTCACAGACATGTGGCTGCTGGCGCAAAAGATCCGGCTGGCCTTTGAACTACACCGTGGATGCACCTCATCCACTTACACCATTCAGGTATGCCTAAGGCATGTGGGTATGGGGCTTTGCCTTGATAGCATTTGAACCCCACCACGGACGCACATCATCTACGAAAACCATTCAGGTATGCTAGTGTCGTATGAGTGGGGTGGGACATTCAAGTGTGGTAATGGCATGTTGGTTGGTGCAGGTCACATACATGTGGCTGCAGGCGCAGAAAAGCGGACGGGCCTTTGAACCTCACCACAGCTGCACATCATCTACGTAAACTATCCAGATATGATAATACCATGTGTGATGATACCAGGTTTGATAATACTAGGTGTGATGATACCAGTTGTGATGATACCAGGTGGGATGGTAACTGGTTGCCTCCACTACTCCCAGGATGGACTGGAAGCAGGCGCGGGCAGACAGAAGCGCACATGCACCCCTTCTCGCCCCGAGTTGACCTGTCACATGTCTCCTCACAGGATAAACCAGCAGCGAAGCAGACAAGAGCACACATGCATGTGCTTTTTGAGGCATTATTTGCATGTCTGATCCATCACCCCTTCTCGCCCTGTGCTGACCTGTCTTATATTCTCCTCGCGAAGCAGACAGGAACACATGTGCTCACCTGCCTTATATTCTCCACTTATTGAGGATTCTTCTTAAACTGTAGTCACTCGTGCACCTCCCCCTTCCCTTCCCTCTACATCCGTGTATTGCGCTCCTGCCAGGGTGGGCCAGCAGCGGGGCAGACAAGTGGTGCATGTGCAAGTGCCCTTAGAGTAATGTAGAGTGAAATCACCCTCTCGCACCTCCCCCTTCCCTCTACAATCCGTGTCCTGTTCCCCTACCAGGACGGGCCAGCAGCAGGGCGGACAGTGGCGCATGTGCAAGTATCTCCCTTTCCTCTCTCTCAACCTCCCCTCTCCCTGTGCCTTCATGTCTTGGTTTCCTTCCAGGATGGGCCAGCAGCAGAGCAGACAGTAGCACACGTGCATGTGCACATCATGTCACGGAGAGAAGTGGACTTCGTACCCAATTATAAGATCTACAATGAGGTATGCTTGTGGTGAAACAATCTCATTCTGTGTTGTGTTTGCGTGTCGATCTACAATGAGGTGTGCGCCCACGCTCTTGCTCGGAAATGCTTGGCTGAATGCAGTAGCTAGGAGTGAGCTTGTGCGGGCCCTTTTACTCCCAGCCAGCAATGGTCAGTCAAGAGCCGGTGAGAGATCCCGTGGTTTCACAGTGTTGGTTCGGCTGCTCTTGCGATCCTGTGTTCACCACTCTGTCAGTTGAGATTTGAATCATGACTGCCCCTGTCCCTGCCTGCCCCTGCCTCTGTCCCTGTCCCTTCCCTGGTCACGAGATACAAGTTGAGGAGAACGAGAAGGAGGCGAAGAGGCTGCGGATAGATGCGGAGGAGAACCGACCAGCCCGTACGATGGATGACATGGAAGCTGAGGCTAAGGAGCTGAGGAAAGTATTAGAGGAGTTTGAGAGAAAGGCTGAAGCCCAGGAGCTGAGGTAAGTGCTGGAGGAGATTGAGAAGAAGGGAGAGAAGAAAGAGGAAGGAGAGAAAAGAGAGTAGTGACGAGGAAGGGAGATGAGAATGGGGGAGTAGAAGGCCACTTGGCAGGGCAGCCCGCACGATGGATGGCATGGCTGATGGAGGCTGAGGCCAAGGAGCTGGGAAGGAGAGTGCTGGAGGAGTTTGAGAAGAAAGGGAGAAGTTAAGGAGGAAGATGAAGAGAAAGAATGTGAATGTGACTCGAATGCAAATTGCAGGTTATGGCCATGTGCTGCTAGAGTAGCCAATGTCTAATGTGATCCACTATTACTGCTAACTTGTAAAGTTTGGTTCTTACTCTATTATGCCAGGGAATCCTGTGGTCATCCAGTCCAGAGGCGCATGTCATGCTCAGTAGAAGCAGTCTTGCTCTTGCGAACTGGGAACACTTGCATAATATATCAAACTAGATCCGTGGAGCCATGGAATGCTTACAGCTATGTTCAACAATATGTACACTCCAGACGATTGTGGAACACACAAGGCATCACCTTCTAACATACGGTATGCACTGTGCGTAGGAAATTGTTACACCTGAGACAAGGCCAGGCACAGAGGACCATGGCTAACGTGACATGTGCAATGCAACGCTGTAGCACTTCAGTGACTCTGCTAGCTTTAAGCTTTATAGTACCACTAGCAGGGTTGTTACATCTGAGACAAGAACAGAACACCATCACTGACATATGTGCATGCACGCTGTATATTGTAACACTTCAGTTCAGATCCCTGCTCTCCCGCCAACTCACTCCAAAAGAACTGTTACATCTGAGACAAGGCCAGGCACAAAGCACCATCGCTGACATGTGCCACGTTGTAACACTTTAGAGACTCCGCCAGCCGAGTGGCGAGTAAATGCTTGCACTTGAATCACAGGGGAAGAGAGGGGTGATAAAGGGAATGAACGTTAGACGAGGAAACGAAAAATGGCAATGGTATGGTCAATAGAGATTTCGTGGGAAAGACACATGTTCTGCAGAGCTCATAAATTATGACTCTACTATGCTTGCATGTTGGGGAAACGTGAATACATGCTTGACTCGAGCTGCAGTGGTGCAAGAATCACATGTGAACTGACACAGGTTCATTCTCACCATGAGCTGCTCGCCACGAGAGACGACGTCATAGAAGAATGACTGGCAAGGGCAGTAGTGGTGTGGCACACAGATGTGGTAGGCAGAGCTCCTGGGGTTGCCGCGAACCTGCATGGATGTTGATAATGGTAGGCTCATATGAGCGGGCAGCATTGAGCGAACGTTCGAGTCAACTCGAATGTCAGCTCCTGGGGTTGCCACGAACCTACAGGCAGACTGGATTGAGAAGGCTGGATTGAGAAGGCTGGATTGAGAAGGCTGGATTGAGAAGGCTGGATTGAGAAGGCTGGATTGAGAAGGCTGGATTGAGAAGGCTGGATTGAGAAGGCTGGATTGAGAAGGCTGGATTGAGAAGGCTGGATTGAGAAGGCTGGATTGAGAAGGCTGGATTGAGAAGGCTGGAGTGAGAAGGCTGGATTGAGAAGGCTGGATTGAGAAGGCTGGATTGAGAAGGCTGGATTGAGAAGGCTGGATGGAGAAGGCTGGATTGAGAAGGCTGGATTGAGAAGGCTGGATTGAGAAGGCTGGATTGAGAAGGCTGGATTGAGAAGGCTGGATTGAGAAGGCTGGATTGAGAAGGCTGGATTGAGAAGGCTGGAGTGAGAAGGCTAGATTGAGAAGGCTGGATTGAGAAGGCTGGATTGAGAAGGCTGGATTGAGAAGGCTGGATGGAGAAGGCTGGATTGAGAAGGCTGGATTGAGAAGGCTGATATGAGCAGACTGAGATGAGAAGGCTCAAGTTCAAATGCATTCTCTGTATTGCTTCACAAGTTGTCAGCTTGAAGAACCCCTGGAGCTGCCACGAACCCTCAGGAGGTTCATAATGGACTTCTGGAATCAGCAGGCTGAAAACCAGAACGCCTCATGCTCTTTGCTCTCACGGCTGTTAGAATCACCAGACTTTCTTTGTGAACGTTCAGTAACGTAATTCAATGTTTGAGTTAAATCCAACATACGTTGGAAGAACCAAATGAGCAGACTTCATCCATTCACACAACGTGTATTGCACCACTCAATACCATTTCTCATTTCACGTACCGAACTAGCAATCTGTAACTGCATACACAATATATATTTCTCACCTGAAATACGCTACTGCCGCTGGGATGGGGTATCAGCATAGCCACACCCCGCCATAGTCCAAAATGGGCAACGGTCGGTCCAGCTCAGTCAGAAACTTTTGAGGCGCCTCAATAGTTTGTTGCCACTGGGATGCGCTATCAGCTTGGTCACTCCACCGTGGTCCAAGATGGCCAAGGCACCGCCGTGGTCCAAACACGAGAACGATAACCGTATATTCAACAATACTTTTCACCTGAAGTGCGCTTCTGCCGCTGGGCTTGGCTATCAACTTGGTCACCCCGCTGGGCTTGGCTATCAACTTGGTCACCCCGCTGGGCTTGGCTATCAACTTGGTCACCCCGCTGGGCTTGGCTATCAACTTGGTCACCCCGCCATGGCCCAAAACGAGGTGACTTTCAGTCCACTCAACAATCACCAATTTTGTTATTTGACCTGGAATGCGCTTCTGCCGCTGGGTTGGGCTATGAGCTTAGTCACCCCCCCATGGTCCAAAATGGCCAGTGCCCGGTCCAGCTGAGACTGAAACAGAACCCTCAATCTGTAGTGGTAGATGCGCAGGGTGAGGGACGAAAAGTGGCTCAACTTAGATAGTCACCACCAGGACAGGAATGGTCGTCTCACTTACGAAACAATTACTGTGAGCTGGTTACGGAAGATTCAGACAGACACTCGGGTCTTGTTGAGATGAGAGACCGGAAAGGCTTTGGAATTGGTGTCTGTGTGAATCGTCTGTTGGAACTGGAAAACTGAGAAAAACTGAGAGTGGTAGTGTGTGTGTGTGTCTCGTGTTGCTGTGTGTGTGGTGAGTGTGTGTGTGTGTGTGCGGGGGGGGGGGGGGGGGGGGGGTGGGTGGGTGTGTGTGTGCGTGTGCGTGTGGGTGGTGTGTGCGTGCGTCTGTATGCGTGTGAGGTGGTGTGTGTGTGCTTTGGTGTGTGGTGTGTGTGTGTGTGTGTGGTGTGTGTGTGAGTGTATGTGTGTTTACGTGATTTAGGAAAGGGTTAGACTCACGATCCGAGGCTGCTGTCGGAAACTGCACATACGAAGCCAATTGACGGTGGGGGTATGGGGGAGAGGAAGGGGAAAAAAAGGACAAAAAGAGTTCAAAGGAACTCAAAATGGCTCGGACTTGACCCGGGGAAACAATGGAAACAGAAACACGCACAAAAAATTGGTGCAAGAGGTGCCGTGTCAGTGCGGGGGTACACACTGAATCTTCTTATTTGTTTTAACAAATTGGACGCACAAGAGGAAGCACCATCAGGTCAGGGGCACATCAAGCACCATGAGGTCAGGGGCACATCAAGCACCATCAGGTCAGGGGCACATCAAGCACCATCAGGTCAGGGGCACATCAAGCACCATCAGGTCAGGGGCACATCAAGCACCATCAGGTCAGGGGCACATCAAGCACCATCAGGTCAGGGGCACATCAAGCACCATCAGGTCAGGGGCACATCAAGCACCATCAGGTCAGGGGCACATCAAGCACCATCAGGTCAGGGGCACATCAAGCACCATCGGGTCAGGGGCACATCAAGCACCATCGGGTCAGGGGCACATCAAGTCATCATACCAAGCTTAGCCGCTGCCACTGCACTAACAGTGACCAATTTCGTCGTTGTCACGTTTTGAGACGTCTCAAAACAGGCCATCATACCAAGCTTAGCTGCCGTCGCTGCACTGATATTGAACTCGTCCTCGTCGCCGTCACGTGACGCGTCTCTCCCTTCCTTGGCTGCCGTTTCATCCACATGTCCTCCGTCAATGCTTCTGTCCCGTGCTTCCATGAACGCGCCTCGTGCCTCCGTCGCCGCGTCTCTCACGGCCAAGTCTGCGTCAGTGCACCTTTCACTGAGCTCGCTAGAAGCAATTCTAGTAGCAGCAAATTGCTTCGCGAGGTCATTAAACAGGGCTTCCGTGAGCGCTGCCAGTGGTGGCACTGGCATTTCCGTCAAAGCAACTGCGGGAGGCTGCCGCTCAAAAGAACTTAACGCCATTATGGAGAATAAAAAAAGGATTTAATCTGCCAGATAATCAGATATAAGACCGGCGTGACGACCGTCCGGGAATTGCGGTGGTGCTTAGACCTAAATCGATCCTGTCTGACGCTTCAACCTAAGGGCGCGTGTGCTCTTGCCGAACCTGACAAGTTCGAACTCAAACCGTTTTGCACCGTGGCAAAACGTTTCTTATTGTATTCTACCATGACAAACCGTTATAAAAGTTTTAACTTTCAGTCAGGCTCGGCAAGAACACACGCGCCCTAAGGACGGGTCACCTCTAGCGTTTTTGCACGACCCATCCTTGGAAGGATCGAATTTGCCCGCAGTTGAAAACGGTTCAATGTTTTAAATTATGTAACAGATAAATTTTGAGTGCGGTGGACGATCCGTTTTTGAGGATCGATCGTGCGGAATGGGGGTGACGCGTCCGAAGTGAAGCTCCCCTCGAAGTCTGCTGGGTTGTAAAAAACATTCCAGACATTTGTTTCGTTGCGGTCTAGAACGTTCAGAACCGCATCTACAAAGGTTGAATATGGATGACCGCAAAGGGGTGGACGGGTATCCCCGTCAGAAACGAACATCACTGGGAAGCTCCACAGTTTCGGTCACAAAGGAGTATACCAACAAATATCATAATCTGTAAGGTAGTTACACGGGGAAAAAAAGAATTCCGGTATTTATAAGAGAAAAGGTTATACCGTACGGTACAAGAAGCGCACAAGTACTGTCAGAGGTCCACTGGTGATCCCCGATTGATCCTAGGGAAGGGTTACAGGCACGG